AAGTAAAAACTTTTATTTGTATCCACGTATATTTGTTGTAAATACCCGATTTATATTTATTAGAATAAGAATAAATTTTCACTATTTTTCACATTAGACAGATAGAGAGAGGGAGAGGGAGAGAGGGGGAGGGGGAGGGAGGGAGAGAGAGAGAAAGCAAATTTACCCATAATATTTATACGCATAATATTAAACATTATAGTTATACGAACTAAAAATATTCGTCTACACATTTTTTGAAAACATATTTTTAATGTAATTCTTATTCTAAATTATTTTTATTCTTTAAACTTCTTATTTGAATAACATTTCAAAAATATATTCTCAAGGATTAATATGTAGTATCGTTTAAAAAATTATTGAAATTAATTTCATTATTCTGTAATATAGCAAATAAGTAAACAAATAATATTTTGCACAAAACACCCTTAGTTCTCAGACATCTAATTTGCATATCTCGTCTACACATCACGTCTACGTGCATATCAAAAGCTTCTTTCTCTCTCTCTCTCTCTCTCTCTCTATCTGTCTAATGTGAAAAATAGTGAAAATTTATTCTTATTCTAATAAATATAAATCGGGTATTTACAACAAATATACGTGGATACAAATAAAAGTTTTTACTTGAAAACAAAAATGCTTTAATTAGCATTTTATAACTTTTTCGCAAAACTTTTATACATTATTACAATGTATGACAGAAATTTATGAAAATCATTCACTAAACAATCAATGATCAATGTCATGAATTAAATTATTGAACAATTTCTATATTTTTCAAATTGTTAAAAATCACAAAACAAATTAAACCTTAAATTTATTAATCTAATTTATTTTATCTATCATAATTTGCAACTTATTAACACTTTTATGTTTTTAAATTCAATATAAAAAATATTAAAAATTATTTAAAATTGTAATTTTTAAAGCATAACTCTAATAACTAATAATCAATGTAAATCAATTTACTTGACGTCACATTGTTTTAAGGTGGTTAAGAGATCAGGTATTATAAACTATATTTTAAAATATAATATGTTTTCAAATATTGAAAAAGTGTGAAAACCGGTATATACAACATATTATGGTACTGTATATTATATACCAATAGATACTTTAAATTTTGATGCAAAATTAAAAACCTGATAACTACTTAATAGATTTTTCATTATGATTTAACACAAAAAATACAATTATCTGTTTTAAACATTTACTGCAAAATAAAAGTCTCTTTTGATATAAATGTAACACATATTTAAGCATTATTTTTAGAAATATTAGTCTACCCTGTTTATCACGCTTGTCAGGTATGTCTATTACGTATAACCTGTATTTAGGAAATAATATTGATTTTAAAATAAATATTTTTTTTCAAAATATTTTAACATATCAACTATGATTGAGGGTCAGTAAAAACAATTCAAACCCTTTCGCTTGAATTTTGGAAATCTATAAAAGTCATGGCTATCAGCAAAATACCTTTAGTATAAGCATTTATATCATTTGGTTGTTAATAAATCTTATATACCTTGAAACTTATAATTTTATTGATTTGTTAAAGTTTTAAAAGTTTGATTTTACATAAAAAATATATATATATAATAATATTTCATAAATAATTTCAGAATAGTTTTGGAGTCACCGTTAAGACACTCACTTATATACTAAATAAACTTTAATTTAGTTTTCATAGAAAATATCGTAAGTTTAGAAACGAGTGGACAGTCATGTCAGCCGACGATATACTAGTGTCGGGAATGAGCGGTCGGTTCCCACTCTCGGCCAACACCGACGCGTTTGCAAAGAATCTGTTCGATGGCATCGATATGGTTACCGATGATGACAGCCGATGGCCATTGGGTATGTGATTCATAAATTTGTTCCTTGGTTATTATTTTTTTTGCTGTTATACTATATATGATTTTAAATCTTAATCAATTTAATTAGTAATTTATTAAAATAATTTTATTTAATATTTGTTATGTTTACTTATGATAATAGGTTGTAGTTATAAAATAAGTAGTTTATAAACACATTTATATACCACGTTTTATTTAGTTAAAATTATTTAATATAATATTATTATATTTAATTGATAAAAAATAAATAAACAAAAATTAAATGAATTAGAAAAAAATAAATAAAAATATTTTATTCTGATGTTTAAAAATAACATATTCCATGTGCCGGTGTATTGTAATATTTTATCATACATCTTCAGGTTAAAAAATAATATTTACAAAATTATTAAAAAACATTAATAAATAAACATTTTAAATAAAATAAAATAAATAAATTCTTTTTAATAAATTGACTTTATAAATAAAGAGAAATTTGAAATTAATAAAATTTAATTATTATATAAATTCCTTATTACAGTAATTGTTTGTGTTGTTTATATGAAACTATTAAAAGGTTTATACGATATATCGAACCGAATGGGAAAGATTGTCGATTACAACAAATTTGATTCAAAATTCTTCGGACTCATGGATCAGATGGTGGATGAGATCGACCCCCAGTCCCGCATGCTTTTGGAGACATCATACGAGGCCATGTTGGACGCCGGTATGTCCATGTTATTTTTGGCATCAATCCTCTTAATAGCAGTTCAAAATGTTTTATTCTGTAATTCTGTAATATTTATTATTGTTTTAAAAAATAATAGTCAAGCTATAGCTTATTTCATCGGTTAAAATATAAAATATAAAACTTTACATATAGGCATAAATCCGCAAACATTACGTGGTAGTAGGACAGGCGTGTACGTGGGTGTGTCGCAGTACGCCATGACCGATGGCTACCCGGAGGACGTTCAGCCGGATTCTCGGGACTCCCTGCAGAACGTTATGTTGCAGAGCCTGTCAAACATGAAGACCTTCTACGCCAGCCGTATATCCTTTGCCAACGACTTCAAGGGGCCGTCGATGATAGTGGACACCGCCTGCTCGGCCAGTGGCACTGCCTTCTGTCTGGCTATGAACGACCTGAAACTCGGTAATTGTTTGCATAAATATTGCTTTCTCAATTTGTATGAATTGTACCAATATAATAGCAACCGGCATACTGTAATTTATGTTAAATAAATTATCTAGTATGAGAAAATTCATTTTGAAAAAAAATTTAAATTCATATATTAATTAACTTAATTCAATTAATCGAACAGTTCGTGAATAAATTAATAAAATTTTTAAAAAATAGTACCATGCTATAACCATGCTATTCAAACCACAAATGTAGGCCACACCGATTCGGCTATAGTGTGCGGCACTCATATGGTGTTCGAGCCGTTCATAAACCAATACCAACAGGAACTGGCCATAAGCTCGCCGAGAGGTGTGTCGGCCGTCTTGGACCAGGAGGCGGACGGCTTCGTGAAAGCAGAGGCCGTGTGCTGTCTATTCCTACAGCGACGCCGGGATGCGCGCCGTAACTACGCTCACGTACGCAGTGCTCGTATGAATGTGGACGGACACAAAAAGATGGGTAAGCCAGCTCACCCTATGCTACCCCCACGCACCTTATCAAACCCCGCTTATAATTGTGGAAAATGAATAGTATTCTGACACATTTTATGTAATTTGATACCCTACTCAATTTTCTTAGGCATGTTTTTCCCGTCCAGTGAAGCACACGAACAGCTTATGAGGATGTCGTACGAGGAGTGCAACATTGATCCACGCGATATGACCTATTTTGAGTGCCACGCCACCGGCACCAAGGTATAAGTTGTTGATAAATATTATAGTTAATACAAAGGTTAATAATGTACAGTAGTATAATTTCTGCCTTATTTATAATAACTATTTTGATTAAATCACATATATTATTGAGAATATAATGGTGCTATACCCGGTATGAAGTATCATTTACTAAAGTTAAAACAGAAAAATAACACCCTATGTTACACTAACAACCAGTGTGATCAGATCGAAAATCCAAAATACTTGTATTTTTGAATAAATTCTTCAAAAAATACTTGACAAATACTTGACAAGTTTTTTTTGTAATATACAATTAAACTGTGCTTTTATAATAGTTCTAATACTATTTAATATGACAATAACTTAAAATTATGCTTAATTAAGTTATTAAAAATGTTGTAGGTTAAGAAACTAAACTTAAGAATTTAAACATAAAATTTAACTAATTGGGAAAATATTTCTCTAAATTGTTTTAGCTTTCTATAATTAAGTGTCATTTTTCAATTAAAAATTTATTATTAATTGTTATTTTATTTTAAATACGAAAAAGAATTTAAACATAAAATTTAACTAATTGGGAAAATATTTCTCTAAATTGTTTTAGCTTTCTATGATTAAGTGTCATTTTTCAATTAAAAATTTATTATTAATTGTTATTTTATTTTAAACACGAATACTTGTCAAATAAATTTCAAGTATTAATCTGGACAATATAGGTTATTTCCCTATACTTTATTATTATAAACTATTATCAATAGAACTTAACCAAATATTCATAATGTATTCAAGTATCTTATTTCAATTATGTTGAAAGATTAGTTTTCAAGATTATGGTTTTAGGTTACTTATCATAAAAATTAATAATTAATATAAGAATAGTACAATATCTATCAGGTTATTTTGCTATTTGGTAGCGATTTTACATAATTTCATTAATAATTATGTAAAATAAAATACTTGACATTATAATGTCAAGTATTACCCCTTGCCTTGTCACATGACAAACACCTCAAATACTTGGGATCTGGTCACTCTGCTAACAACAGAGTTACCCTTTGTAAGAAAATCAATGTTATATTGTGTATAACAATTAAATATTCTATAATACAGGTATTATGGTTAATTTTACAAAACATAAAAGTAAAATATTGGTTTTTTACTTAACTTAAAGGTTTAAAATAATTAAGAAGTTTAGTAGAATTGAATGACAGGTTTAAAGTAGTTTTGAATAAATTCTAGTTGTAGCCCATAATTGTCTTCAGTATACAATGTATTCAATGTTTACTATACTAACTGTAAGCATATAATTTTGTTTATTATTTATATATAAATATGGTTTTTCTTAACATTTTAATTAATTACGATTTACAGGCCGGAGATCCGCAAGAAATCAAAGCCATTTACAACGCTTATTGTAAGTCTACGGGACGTACGGATCCATTGCCTATAGGGGTGTTGAAGAGCAATATGGGTCACGCAGAGGCCGGTTCAGGGGTCTCGTCGGTCATCAAAATTATGATATCCTATGAACACGAATGCATTCCTCCGAACATTAACCTCAACACTATTAAGGATGAAATCGCTCAGTATTTCCCACCATTGCTGGCAATCAGGGAAAAGTACCCTTATAAGCCTGGTATGTTTGTATGCACAAGTATAATATTCGTATTATTAAACACATAAATATTTTAACATAGGATTGGCTGGTGTTAACAACTTTGGTATCGGCGGTTCAAATGCACACGTTTTGTTTGAACCAAATTATAAGTTGGGAACCAATGATAGCTTAAGAATAGCTGAAACTATACCCAGAATTGTCAACATTTGCGGCCGAA